CTATATTCCATCTATCTTCGCATTTTATGAGAACTAGAACTAAAAGCATAATCAATAATTTAACAAGCTAATGGACATATTTTTAAACACAATGAACTATGCTGAAAAGGGGCAGGCTGTCAGAGAGCCACAGAGGCAAAAATGGAAACTGACTGCTAATATTTAATGCCTGTCTTGAAAAATACTGAGCACAAAGCAAGCTGTCTTAAAACAGGGTGCCTCTCTTCTTGCTCTACAAAGCCATTGCTTCATTCTGTTTGTGACTGCATTTTTTCCTGGGAACCAAGTATCCGACTATCCTGTATATGATATGACTTTTAAAGGCACCGTAAGGTATAGGACTAAATACCCAAATATTCAATGTGTACTTTAACTAAAAATGTATGCCCTAAAAGTAATTTTTCATTCCAATTTTAAAATACTATATAATATATTCTGGCTATTGATATTCATAACCATACAGTTTACAATAACATTTTATTTGTCATACAAGTAGGAAAAGCAAGGAAACTATTCTGATCTTGGCAGCAAAATATTCTAACTCAGCCTGGAGAGTGTTAATGCTTCATTTTGTGAATAATATAAGGTCTTTTATTTCTATTTTGCTCTTCCCTGTTTTCTTCTTTTCTTATATTTTGTATATTAGCAGCTTCATAAGAAAGACAAAAACAAAATACTATAAAAAATGATTAATTGTATAATTTGCAATTAAATACTAAGAGGGATAACCAGTTGCCTAAATTTATTTACTATCATTTCATTTGTCACTATGATAGCATTTTTACTCACCGATAAGGATTATCCATAAAGTTCAATCATATTTACTCAATTCCCTAATTATCAAGATTTATACATTATTATACTTAAAGCTTCCTTTTTCCTTGAACTTTAGATATATGATTAAATAGATTTATTCCATAGATAAAGTATTCCCAAATTTTGAGTATATATATTGTATCTGACAATCAGGTTAATGAAAAACTGTTTATGTTTCTAATGAATAGACTATGAACACGACCACAAGCTTGCTTGTATATTTTTACAACATATAAGAAAATTTAGACTTGTTTTATATTTGATTATAATGAAGTTGAGAGCCTTGAGAGCTGAGGGAGAAACATAGGTGGATGTGCCAACAACAACATAAAGGCAGCCCAGAGTGCTTGATGACCAAAGCAATGGCACCCAGACCTTGGTATCCCTCTGGAAGGTCTGCTGCAGTTGGCCTATTGAAATTATGGCTTGCTGAACATCTTATTCTTCAATTCATCCATTGAACAATGTCCTTTCCTGTCCTTTTCATAAGAAAAATAAAGCTCTGTTTGTTTGAATCAATGCATATCTCTGAGCTGCAATTTTTCAAAGTTCAGTGAGTTGTATATATAAACCATTTTTATCCATGTAGCACAGTCATACTTTCCCCCAGATGATACTCTGGGGAGTATGGTATTGAGAAAGATTATTTTTAGTATGCAATAAGAAAGTAATAATCAAAATAAATATATAAAAGAACAAGATAAACAGTAAAAAACAGTAGCAACGTAAGCCTGTGAAAAGTTATTTGCTACTCATACCACATATCATTTGAATTCTCTTATTTATGCCTCAACAACATCCATTTTTAATTCATTTTACACACCTACACTCTCTGAAACAGGTTTTTTTTGTTTGTTTGTTTAAAGAAGCCATTTGTCCGGAATTACTAAAACTATTATGCTCTGTCTGCAAAATAGGTGATTTTAGCAAGCCAGATATGCACAGTTAAGCTGTGCTTGCAGAATTGTTTTTCTTAAAGTGCAACCAATTGACCATATACCAGCACTAATTTGTTTCTAACCAGTAAGGCATGTGCACATGCTGCCCCATACAACAGTGATTGCAACCAACATGGACAGGTGCTTGTTTTTATTCTCAGTAAAGGAAAATTTAAATGCAGCAGTGTGCCTCAGCTTAGACCGCATATCTCCAGGCTCTGCTTTCTTCCAAAGACAGATTTTCCGTTTGCCCAGCATTCAGTTTTACACTTTTTTTCTTCAAACAAGGCTTATGCTCCTAAGAAAGCTCTGGAAAAATGACTTAGACCTAGTCTGTTGCAAAATCTTTTAAAAGCCTATGTTAATACCCTAATAAAATGATAATATATATCTGCTTGTGATATAAAACTACTCTTTACAATACTCTCAAAGTGGTATTCTTATTTATAATTTTGTCAGACTTTAGACCCTCACAGGTGCCTTATAATTCCTTCTTAAAATAACAACACTAGAGGGCAGGTGGTAAATTTCTGGGACATTATTATCTTTCTCAGGGCATTTAACATGCTGCTGGGTTTTTTAATAATATTTTTAGTCCTGGGAAACTATAATTATCCTGAAGCATGCTTCTTACACTGTCTTATTTCTTAATTACAGTAGTGACATGAGATAAATGCATACTTATTGGAGATCAAATGCATATTATTTTGTGGTGATTATAAAGAAACTCTCATGACAATTGCAGTTATGTGGTCATCAACTACAGATACCATGTTATGTTACAGACACTCTGTAAGTCCTCCCAAGAGGGAACTTTCTATTTGAGATAAAAGAATTTAAAAGTGAGAGATTGGCCAATTTAACAGTAGACAGTGTTGTATTGATATAATTCATCTAGGTAGAAATTTAAGTTAAATCCCTAAATATTAGTTGATATAATAATTGCACTTAAGATTCATAGGAAAATATTTACAATTTTAAATGATCTAAATTTTACTTGCGATTCCATATGAATCTCAGTTAAAATCATTGTCAATTAATATTTAGGGTTTTAATTAAATTTAAAGCAATTAAGAGATCCAACTTAAATTTAACTTAAATTTCTACCTGGATAAATTAAATAAATAATATTGTTAAAATATCTACTCTCTTTTTTCATGTTTCCAATAAATTTGAATATACTCCAAGGATAAAAAATGGACCAGAAATATGACAGGAGCGATACTGTCTTCAAAGATAAATTTGCAGTCTATTAGTAATATTCTTCTCAGATACTATAATTCATTGTCTTAAAAATTTTCACTTAAGGTTTGCAAAATATTTTTTCTTTCTTTATTTCAATTTAAAAAGAAAAATAAAAACTTTAAATTGCCAAGATAATACTTACATAGTTTTCTACTGCCTTCTACAAAAATACATTCCTTGTCTTGCTTTTTTGTTGTTGTTGAAAAGTGAGAAAGGAAAAAAAAAAATGATGGATGTCAAACTCAATATAAAAAAATGTTTTGGTGAAGATTTCTGTTATATGTCAGAATTGGAAATCTGGGTGCCTGGGTTTAAATTCCTACTCTGCCACTGAATAGATGTAGAACTTGAACAAGTTACTTAATTGCTTTCTGCTTCATTTTATTTTTTTTTTCATCTGTAAAAGGGGACAATAACAGTAGCTCGTTTGTAACAGTATTGAGAAGATTTAATTATTTCATATATGTAAAGGGCTTCAAATCCTGCTTAGTATATAGTAAACAAGTACTATATGAATTTTAGATATTATGTTATGTAAATTAGGAACATCGAAGCCACATTCTCTTCTCTACCTTCAACTATGATGAGGTGTGACTTTGATCATTTTAATAGGTTTCTTCAGATAATTTTTGTTCAGTATTCTAGTATGACAAATAATAGAGAATACCTTTTCCTCAATAAAAAGGGTATTCAAACAATAAACTGCTACCTATCAGATTGGCCAGTGTAACATTGGAGAGTGACATATATGCCTATGTTTGTTTAAATGATTCCATATGAATCTTAAATAAGACCATTTTATCAACTAACATTTAGAGGTTTTTAACCTGTCGTGGGGTTTTAACTTACAGTTTTTTGCCAGCATGTATTTTTTAAGTTCTGGTGCAAGATAATGCTTCCATTATTTTTCAAGACAAAAGGCCTCCTCTTTAGGCATTTACAGTTATAGTGTGACAGATTACGAGAACAGAAGGCTTGCATATAGTCTTTACTGCATGGCTAATATCTAACCACACCAAGAAACGTAAACCCTTAAAAAAGTGTCAGTGAGTTTTCATACAAACTATTAGCCATGCATGAGACACTTGAATTTTCTCCTATATTATTTTTCTGTTCAACTTCAGATGTTATATTTGTTCTAATACTATCATTTATGGCATCATATTAGCCTTATATTATGACATTGAGGAACAAGTACAAAATTATGTTTGTCACAACGTGATGAACTCTCTTTTTATAACTTGCATAAACAATCTCTGCAATTTAAATCAGAATTTTGCCATTTTTCTTTTATGTAGTATTTTTTTAAATCCCTGTTGCTGTGCCTGACAAACTATATATTAGTTTACGATTGTTAACACATTTGAATTTTTGGTTGCTCTCTCAACACCAATTCATCTAATTTCACTTTTTCTTTGTCTGTGATACACAAAGGAACTACTCTGAAATGCCATGACATTTTTAGAGTTAATATTGAGGTATGAAAAGTTGTAAAAGGTTTAATGAGTGGAAAAGTTTCTGGCTAAATGCAATCAGTTTCTGCGCAAACATTTACAGTCTCTACTGCAATAAAATTCTTTTAATTAGACCACAAAGAAGAACATTTTCTTGAGTTTGATTCTATTTCAATCTGTACGCACAGAAAAGCTCTGGAAAATTTGTTTAATTTTAGAACTGGCTTAATTTTCATTCTTCGCTAGTCTGAAAGTTAATAGATTGGAATTTGACGGTATTGGTTGCATAGTAAGCAAAACTGATACGCAAAGTAACACTATCCTTCTGAAGAACAGTGAGGAAATGACACTCTTAATTTTAATTTTAATTTTAAAAGTAAGTTTAAGTGTTATTTTGAGATTAAAATTAAATGTGTAGCTTGCCATTTAAAAAGATCATTGCACTTCTTGTGAAATTCCAAAGTGAGGCAAGGTGCTGAGTGGAGATTGTACTGGTACTTTTGAGCTTAAGCATATATTTTTGTCATCATTTTTATTTATCTTTCAGATCAGCATTTTCATGACCCATTTGTCAAACTATGGAAATGACCGCCTAGGGTTATATACCTTTGTGAACTTGGCCAACTTTGTGCAGAGCTGGACCAACCTGAAATTGCAAACTCTGCCTCCAGTGCAACTGGCCCACAAGTACTTCGAGCTCTTTCCTGAACAGAAAGACCCTCTATGGCAGGTAACATTTAACATTCTCTCCTGGGGTGGAAGGAAAGAAAGCTAGCAATTTGTGAGTGTAGAACTTGTGTTAGGCAAAATGCTGGACATTTTGAAACTGGAATTTAACACAAAATCCTCTTTTATACAATAATTTTCTTCTCTTCCTCAACAATTTTTGTTTATTTTTTAAATTGTTTGCTTTTTTTTTTTTTTTATTGCTTTTTTTTTTTTTTTTTTTTTTTTTTTTTTTTGCTTGCTTCTCTGAGTTTTTGTTTGGTTGGTTGCTTGGTTGGTTTAAAAATTTTGCTTTGAAGATGTTCTTTTATTGTTGGTCTCTTCCCCAAGCTAATCATATTACCTTGCATGCAGTATGAGCACCTACTAGCAGTAAAATGGTTAGACACTGGGTATCTAGATAAAACCTAGAGCCACTATATCCTAAGACTTATAATTAGACTTTGATATGTATATGTATACAACATTGTGTATATAAGAAAGGGAGAAGAATTTTTACCTTGTATCCATATAGAGTTAATCTCTCTCTAGCATATCTTTGCTTTTCTTTAAATCTAACAAATCTTTCACTAACATTAAACCTACTGGAAAAGAGAATTGTCAGTGTTAGGATTGCTTTTACTAATAATTCAACTTCATGTGGGGCCACTTAGCCTGGATGCATCAAATGTAAACTATCTGCTTCTTGGCAGTTATCTAGGAAAATGTTGCCTCCCATTTTCTTGCCTCTTTATGCATCAGATTACATCCACACACAAAATCAATAGGCTGGCTGCAGAGAGCAGATCAGATAGTCCCCTGCCAAGCAGTCAGTTGAGAAAGTAGCATCACCGTTAATGAGAAATCACTGTAGAATAGACTTTTTGTCATCCTCTTTCCTTCTCGTCAAACTATTTGTTTCTCTTTATGCCATAAATCATATTGCATCCCACCCTGTGTCTACACTGTCAGAAATGCACCCAACACATGTTCATTGTGCATCTGTTATGTGTAAGGTAAGGCTAGATGTTCTAGGGTATGCAAAGAACAAAATACATTTTTTCTCAAAGCCAATGGGGAGATTCCTCATTATTTACTATCCTATGTTTCAAACATGTATTTTAAAACTGACTGCTATAATGTGTCATATTATATTCTGACGATTTATTAAGCAGTTTTTTTACTAGTTGTGTTTACATTGAACTACACATTCTACGTACCATTCCAATAAGTTAGTTGACCATCTACAATTTGATATGTAAATTAGAAAGTCAGATAAATAGATACAAGCATAAGTATTGTGAGCATATATGAACACACAAAACAGACTTGTATAAAGACAAAGCATTATGTCCCATAAATGGTGGTTATTCAAAAGATCTGAAACACTTTTTATAAAATTGATAAATCATTGATGATAAATCTATTCTTTTCCCACGAATGTTTATGTAAAATATAGCTATAATATTTATGGTACAGTAATAATAAAAACCAGACAAATTAACAAAGATTTTAGGTAGCTGACATAGAAAGAATCCTTCAGTGACCTCCAGCTCTACCCTTCCTCTATCTGTAGAAAAAGGAAAAATATTTTATTAAATTATGAACTGAGTTTCTTGATATTGTTTGAAATTTTTAACGTAAAGAATTGTATGTATTAATATGTTTGGAGATCTGTGACACTTTTCTTAAAAAATGAATATCAAAGATATGCCAGCTCCAATATGATTTGGTCAACATGATGATTCTAAGTATTGATTTAATGTTTGTTAAACATAGAATACTGTGCTGTTTTATTAGGAGTATAGGTAAAAATTCAAAATTAAAATATACGATTATTCTTTAAGAAATTATGCCATTCTTAGAAGATATATATATGTATATTATATATGTATATAATATATATATATATAATTTGCAAGTACTGACAATGTTAATTTTGAATAATATCATAAGGGTAAGTTCTTAGGAAGTCCTTCATAAAAGAGAGAATAACAGAAAAGATAATGTAGAGTTTACAAATTTTTATCATTGTTGTTTAAATAAGTTTAGGAATTTTCATATACATTATCAAAATATAGTTTTCTGTAAAAGTACTTAAATGATACATGAGTAAACGTTTTCCTGTGAAAAAATCCCTTTGCTATCATGTGAGTTACATTATTTATATAGTTTCTTTTCACTAAGACTTTAAAGTTGCAAACATTTTCGTTAACTAAATACCATATATACCCAAATATCATATATCATATATTCTCAAATATATTTAAGAAGAAAAACAAGGAATAGAAAACAAAGAGTAGTTAAGTTAAAGAGAGAATTATTCAGATACATGAGATTTTGAGAACAGTTGACTTATTGCAGCAAATCTGCTTAACTTTGCCAAACACATGAAGTCCAAAAATCTTCAAGTTGTGAAGTAACAATAAAGTACATAATACTGAGTTGGTGATTATCTCTTCTTTTCATATTCATATCTGTAATAGCACATGTAAAAACAGTAAGCATTGTCACCCTTTTCTCTATATAATATGAACTTAGAGTTATGTAAAGCAAAATAAGTAAAACCAGCATTAATTGGTAGATAATTTATGGCCTATTCATCACAATGCTAGAGAGTTAGAATAGATAAATATGGTGTATTTCTGTTATTGTTACAAAGTGTCAAAATAAAATATTAAAGGATCTTTTTGTATTTACCAGTGTGATTTCTTATTTAGTATATTTCATGTTTAAAACTAATTCAACTATTATTTTTCTTTAGATTTTCAATTCACATGTTCTTGTTACCACAAACAAAAGAAAAAGTGAGAAATGATAATGTTCACATCTACTTAATTTCCTTTGGTTCCTCATGTAACTTTTCATTAGCACCAACTACCATATATGTGAAGCTGCTTTGTCACCTAATTAAAAACTGCAATATGAATATCTGTCAATGAGTAGCCTGATAAGTACAGCCCAAAATGCATTTGTGCTCATCTCTCACTGGAAATTGATTCTTTCGATGCTGATTAACATGGGAATGTGTACTGAGGATACACATGAAATGCAATCCCCAGACTGTATCCTTGTCAGTTTAGTCCTTGATGTGTAAGACTCTTAAAATTATACTCACAGGTGTCTATTAATTCATGTCCCTTATTAGTTTGGTAGAACAATCACTACACAGTGTGAAAGAATAGGGTTACTTTCTCTCTCTTTTTTTTTTTAAATAATTCAATTATAGAAACCAAAACCACGATATGGAGGAAGTTAGAAGGTCAGATTCTTACGCTTGAACTAATCGATGCTTTTAAGCTCTCAAACTGTCAAGTTAGCTCAGTTCTAGTCTTCAATCAGCCATCCAGAGTCTCACTATCAACAAACATGCCACGCATGATGTGGATTCCTGCTTGTCTGTGTGACCAGGAGAATGCTCAAAGAGCTAAAATTTCTCTCTCCACGCCAATGTCTCTAGGGTTAAAGAAGTGGGAAAGTAAATCACAGAGCACTAACCTTGGGTGGTTAATCCCTTTTCTGATGGTAGCTGTGAAGATATCCAGCCTCAGAAAAGAAATGAAATTTGAATATCGTGATATAAACAAATCTTAAGTTTTAGTGGCATACACCCTGAAGGTTCTTTTGGTATGTGTCTGTTGAAAGAATGAAGGAATGCTGACACGGAGAATTAAAGATTATAAGAGCAGAATAAGAAATTTGAGACATATAGCTCATTGTAGAGAGAAAATGGATGACACTCAGTGAAGTGAAATGCCTTGTTTTAAGTCACTTGGCTTATTAGAAACAAGTCAGGACTACAGCCCTAGGTTTTCTTACTTCTCCTCCAGGGTGATTTCAACCACAAGATGGTAGCTTTACAATTAAAAAAGCAAATCAACTATTGCCATCAACTCTCTAAGTACAATAAAATTTCAGGAATAACTCCTTTCTTTAGATCTGATGATATGTTCAGTGTGAATTTATTCAACCTATGATGTTGAAGTACTTACATAATCAAAAGAAAGCTCTTGCCTTCATGAAACTTATAAGCCACTATAACTGCTTATGTGAACAAAATAATGTTACAAATTTGTCTTCATACTTATTTCTCTTTTTACCACCCTATAACTTATTTATAATCATATTACTGCACTTATCACACAGTATTGCAGACACCTGTGCCTGTCATATATTGGTTTCTGCAAACTTTAAAAAATAAGACTTTGTTGATTCATATTTACACCCTGGAACCTAGCATAGTACAATAGCCACTGTCTTCAAAATATCATTAAAGAATAACTAAAAGCAGAGGACTGTGTATACAAAGAACAATAAAAGAGGCACACCTGTTTCTCAGATAGTTAGTAGAGAGGTAATGGTAAGTAGCCTGTAGAAACAGGTACAAGTCAGAGGGGGGAGCTTTCAACACTGCCAGTGTAATTTGAATTTGACAGGCAATTAGGAAAAACAAAATATAGGCTTTGAGGTTGAGAGTGAAGTGACTTTAAAAAATGTTGGTCAATGAAGATTACACCAGAAGCCTTTTTTCAGGACAGGTAAGAATCGGAAGGTGCTGAAGACAGGACAATAATCTCCCTATGAGAGAGGGAAGCCCAGAAGATCTTCATGGCTGTGAAAAGTAATACCTTGGAAGAAAGACTGAGTGAGACTGAGAATAACAAAAGAGTGATCTGTGACTAATTACCCCCATTTCCAGCGAAGTAGGAGTTCTGTAACTGCACTTTTCACTTTAAATTCATTCATCTTTTGATCTTTTCAATGAAATTAAGTCAATATAGTTTTATTGCATCACAGATGAGAGAGGACAGATTTCATTATCATCTTAAACATTTTCTTAATAGAAATTTAAATTTGTATTTTGCCATGTTATCTTTCTCTTCCTAACTTAGCAATAGTATGTTGTATACCTTTCAGAAATACCTCCTCTACCAAAGATGGCAATAATTTCTCATGATTTTGAATCTTTAATTTACACTGAAGTAACATTTTGATTATATGAGACTGTCAGACATTCTGATGTCC